GGAGAGGGGGGGGGAGACGGACTGAGGGGGATGGGAGGGGAGGACGACAATCCTTCGTCCGATCTGTGTCATCCATTGACAGATGGGATAACGACAAAAAGGAGATGAGGAAAAAAGGTAAGGAGGAATAAGAGCGACCCTGCCCTCAATAGAACGCAGGTCATAAGTGGCAGCGACATGTCGGGGTGGGAGGAAGAGGGAAACGAACGGATTGTGGGGTGGTGGGAGGAAGAGGGAGGCGAAGTAGAGACCGTCTTCCCCCGAATAGAACGCACGGTATCACACTGAATGGAGACTGAAAATTGCGCCAAATAGGGCTCTGTAGCGACAATGCGTTCTATTCGAGGAGGGAAGACGGTAGGGGACAAAGGACGAGGAGGAAGGAGGGGGGGGGGGGGGGGAGGGGGACGAAAAAGACGGGAGGAAGGAGGGGAGGAGAGAGAGACGCAGAGGAGGGAAAGGCAGGAAGATGTAGGGAGAGAGAGGACGCGGGAAGGAGGGTGGAGAGATGAGGAGAGAGGAGGAGAGAGAAAGACGAAAGAAGAGGAAGACAGAAAGAAAGGAAGAGGGAGGAGCGCTAGGAACGACAGAGAAGGAAAGAGGGGGAGGAGGAGGGGGAGGAGGAGGGGGAGGAGGAAAGAGGAGGGGGGAAGGACGAAAGGGGGAAGGGAGAAGGGGAGAGGGGGCGAAAAAAAGAAAGAAGGAAAGAAGAGGGGGAAGAGAGGGAGAGAATGAGAGGTGGGAGGAGGAGGGGAGAGGAAAGGCAAAGACGTCGAAGTAGAGAGGACGAAGCACAGGGGATGAAGAGCAAAGGGGGAGGGAAAAAGAATGAAGGGAAGGGGGAAGGGGGAAGAGGGGAGAGGGGGGTGCAGAAGGAAGGAGATTGTAGAAAGAAGACGGACCCTGAGAGATCAATTCCCCGATTACACGGATAAAGAAGAGATTCAAAAAAAAAAAAAACTAATAATAATAATAACGTTAAGGGATGGAGGACAAGGGAAGAGAAATGGGGGGAACGAAAAGAGAGGGCAGAAAGAGGGCGTCGTGTGCGCGAGAAGGAAAATTGATAGGAGGAGAGAGAGGAGAGCAGAGAAGATGGAATAGAGAGGAGAGAGAGGAGAGGAGAAGAGGAGAGTAGAGAAAGGAAGAGGAGAGGAGAGAGGAGAGAAGACAGGAGAGAGCAGAGAAGACAGAAGAGGACAATGGAAAAGAAAAGATTTGAAGGAGAGGAGAGAGCAGAGGAGACACCACAGAGAGGCGAGAGGAGAGGCGAGAGGAGAGACGAGAGGCGAGAAGAGAGAAGAGAGGACATAGGAGAGGAGAGAGGAGAGGGAGGAGAAGAGAACAGAAGAGGAGAGGAGAGAGGAGAGTGAGGAGAAGAGAACAGAAGAGGAGAGGAGAGAGGAAAGTGAGGAGAGAAGAGAACAGAAGAGGAGAGAGGAGAGCAGAGAACAGACGAGAGGAGAGAAGAAAACCGATTTGAAGGAGAGACAGCAGAGGAGAGAGGAGAGGAGAGAGGAGGAGAGAGGAGAGGAGAGAGGAGAGAGGAGAGAGGAGAGAGGAGAGAGGAGAGGAGAGAGGAGAGGAGAAGACAAGGATTTCGAAAGACAGAAGGTAAACATAGACACGAGACGGAGAATAGAAAAAGATGTAGAGGAGAGAGAGGGCAGGCGCGAGAGAAGGAAAGGGGGGGCGGGGAGGAGAGAGGAGAGAGGAGGAGGAGGAGAGAGAGGGCAGGCGCGAGAGAAGGAAAACGGAGGAAAAGGACGAGAAGGGAGAAGAGAAGGAAAGGGGGGGGCGGGGAGGAGGAGGAGGAGGAGGAGGAGGAGGAGGAGGAGGAAGGCATTTGCTCGTTTAGGAAAAAGGGAGGAGAGATTTTACCTCCGGGGCGCTTCTTGGCATAAGCCGTCGGAACATCATTTTGGCACTTGCTCCTCGAATGAATACTCAGAAGGCACTTGCTCCTTTTGGAAATTGCTTGTTGAGGAAAAGATCGAACAGACAGACAGACGCTTTAGGAAAGTGCTACCTCCTCTTCTGGTAAATGGTGCGCTCCCCGTCCGCGGTAGTTTCTCTTTCCGGTTTAGGAAATTGCTGCGCTCCGTTCTGCCGGCAAACTTCTGTACTCTCTTTCCAATTTAGGCAATATTCCCTGTTCGTCCCGAGGTCGCTTCCACCGCGTCTTTCTGCGCAGTTCTGCCCCCAATATGCAGACGGAGAGAGAGATAGGGAGAGAGAAAGAGAAAGAGAGGGAGAGAGGGAGAGAGGGAAAGAGGGGAAGAGGGAAAGAGGGAGAGGGAGAGAGGGAGAGAGAGGAAAGAAGTAGGAGAAGAGATTCGTGGAAAAGCACAAAAAAGAAAGGAAAAACAAAAACAAAACAAAAAACACAATGTTACGGGCGAGGAAAACTTTTGATTTAAAAAAAAAAAAAAAA